TTTATAAATGCAGCCACAAAATTGAAGTCCTGGACTTTACTTTCTTTCCTGAATTGTGTGTTGTTTTCTTCTATACTATTTTCTAGCAAAAGTTTGTAACTTGGAGATAGCATGCTGTTCTTCATTGTTTCTCCTTTGCTGCACACATCTCTGTTCTTCAGAAATAGTCATTAGTGATACCTTTCATTAAATATCAGTAAGTTATAATACTCTGAGACAATATTTTGATTATCTAAATCAGAGAAGTATAAGTAATCCCTGCAGCTGTAGGTTTTATTAAGGTGCATAATAATATGGTGATTAACAACTGCATACTGAAGATATGCACTGAACAGACTGCTTCTTTCTACTTGGGTATCTTTCAAGTGTGGTTTTTAATATAGTGTTAGGGCATGTGAAAATAAACTATAAATGCCTCAACCATGCGGAGAACAGTAGTGCTAACCCATAAAGGTGTGTGAAGTACATCTCTCAGGTTTTGAACAAAAAAGAGATAGATGCTCAACAGAGAAGAAGAGCATTTCAGCTGTCTGGTTTGCCTTTGAAGAATTTAATTGCTCAGTTGCATTTGCAAATTTCATTGCTTATGTGAGTACATAAGCCATAAACTATTAATTCCAGCTCTTGCTGAGAATGTGTAGGCTTTGTAATTAGTGATTGAAAATAGCTCTGTTTCCCATTTGGTGAGAAAGGGCATGTCCAAGCATCACTCGGGTTCTGTGCACACCTTTAACCATGTTTAACCTGACTAATGTTCAAAACCATCTAGGCTTTAAGTGATGGGGGAGGGGTGTTGGATTTTTTTTAGCCATGTTTTTTTTTTTTTTTTTCCTTTTTTCCAAAAAGTGAGGGAGACTTTTTGCTGGATAGGTTTTTTTTTTCTTGCTTCCTTTCTAATTAGACTGATTGCAATTTTTATCCTAAGAACTTTATGGTTTTCCACATGGATGCTTCACCCTTGTATTAGTTTCATACCACATCTTTCCAGGAATCTTCTGAAAAATTTTTCTGTATTTCAGAATTTATGTAAGGTACTAGGTTCAGCACTCATTTGTAGCAAAATTAAATGGTCTTATTGATGCAATAAAATTTTGTCAGTTCAGCTTTTTCATGTTGTGCTTCTTAAGCTTCTATCTTCTAAGGTTTGGTTAAAAGCATTGTTAAGTAGGTGCAGGGAGATGTTGCAAATGTTTTGGCTTGTTTTTATATAAATGGTTCTGTTCAAAGGAAAATATTTGTACTTTGTTTCTTAAAGCTAAGTGTCTTATACAACAGTTGCATAGTTGTAGAGTAGAACTGTGAGTCTTCAGGTTCTGTCGAAAACTTAGTAAACAAAAATGAGCATAAAAAGGTTCAATGTAAAGCATCTTTCCAAGTGTCTGATGACAAAATTATATCCTCATGATGTTTTAAGTGTGTAACTGCTTATTTGGCTCTTTTCTAATCAGAAGTGTTAAGTTAATTTTAATGAACTGTGCATTCAAACACATATTCCTTAAACAGATACAAGTGTCATTATTTCTTCTTTGAAAATAGTTGTATTATATTTGGGAATAGGCATATGAGGGGTGAAGTTGGCTACAAGGTTGTAGGTCTCCACTTCTTATTCTGTTGATCTCTGGGGTGTAGGTTTGTATTTTTAATTTATGCACCTTGAATTTCAGACATGATTTTTGTGTTCTTGAAGATAGTGCTGGGGGCTTACATGCAAATGACAACATGCAGAGGAAATGCTTGAATTTCTTGATATTAAGTGTAATAGTTCAGCATGGAAGCATAGTATAAAAAATGTAGATCACCTTTTAACAAACATCCTGTAAGCTGAAAATCTTGTCTTCCTCTACTGATTAAACTGAAGTAAGCATGAACTTCAGAAGTATTACCTGTGTTATCTCTTCCTGTTACATCTAAATTTTTACATGACTACATGTTGAATCTTACATTTCTGGAGTCTGGGATAAGTTGTAAGCAGTATTGGAGAAGTGTATGTGACATGGTAAATATTAAAGCTTATTTATATTGAAATGTGATAGAACTGCTCTCAGATCACGGTAGAGAGGGTAAGTTAGTAGCTTTGTCATACTTCCTACTGGTGAACTTGTAAGCAGTTGCACTGTTCCTTCTCATTAAAGGCAAGTAGAAACGCAAACAGTACAAAGTAACATAAAGAGCTTTCCATACAAACATGGTATGTGCATATTTTAAATTGTATGTCTTCTGTAAAATTATATGAAAAACAAAATCTTGTTAAAAAGTCTTCCCCAAGACTGAGCAAACCCAAGGAGCCAGTGCAATAAAAAAAAAGAACCACAGCTCCTTTGGTTTTCCTTTTCAACCTAAAGCAAACTTTGAGCAGTTTGGCTTTCCACACTCTATGCTAATCCTCTCTGCTTAGCTAGCATTTTTTTTAACTTCTTTGGTCATGTTTTCCACATGTAGCTTCTCGCAGTGTTGCATAATGTTACCAGACTTGGAGCTTGTTAGTCTGAACAGCCCTGCAGTCTTTTCAAAAGAACTTGTAGACTTGTGAAGTGACCCTGAATGGCACCACCTGTATTCAGGAAGAATATGTATAACAGATGTGCATTGAACGAAAGTTTCAAGATGATAAATTGAGAATTTTGTGGTAAAACAAGTAGAAAGCTACACCAAAATCTACTTTGACTTTTAAGCGTTAAAATGGAATAATAAATGGTTAGAAAATGCCAAAGCTGTTTTCCTGTACAGCTTTGAATTTAATCCACAAGTATATATTAGGTTTTTTAATTTTCTTTTTTTCTTATTTTCAAGCATGTTTGTATATCTGGTTTCCTCACAGGACAGTGCCTCTGTTAATTCTTGAGACTTGCTTTAGTGTTAAATTGGAGCCGTATAGGGAGGACGTATCGTGTTTCCATAGTCTCTGTTTCAGTTATTGCAGAACATGACAGATAACTGTCAGTGTTAAGTATGCTACCTTAAAGAATTGCACTTGAATGCTGCTTTTGCTAAGCAGTTGCAATTGCTAATTAAGATAAAATGCTGATGTTTACCATCTTAATGGTAATCCAGATATTTACATTTCAGTTAAGACTAGTCACTGTTCCTTATTTTGTAGTGCTTAGCTATGGTTTGATTACCAGAATTGCTTTTGCATCTGAACTCAGTGGAAGCTGTATTGTAAATATGAATGTTTATATGCTGATTTGTATCCTAGAAAAATGAGTTTTATAAATTGTAATACAAAATTAATGGGCGGTTTTGACCTTGTGTGTCAGGATTCAGTCTATCTTGTTTAGTGTGGTTCACTTGCTTTGTACTTCAAGTGTGAGAGCTGCAAAGAAATGCTTAAAGAAATTAGGAAGTGTATGAAAATAAACCTGTATATTAAACCACAGGAGAAACTTACTGAATTCTTGCTGAAATACCCTGAAAAGGTAGTATAATCTATTGGTGTTTAGAACTGTAAAAACACTTGTGGAAGAATGAGTAAACCCCTGTTTTTTCTGAAAGTATAGGAAAGGACTGAATTAGTGTTGCCCTTAAAATCTGTAGTTTTGATAATGAAATACTTGTAGTTGGATGTTGGTATTAAAGTAAATCTCTTTATGTAGCTTATTTTGTTTTAAAGCAAGCTGTAAATTGGAGCTTCAGAGAGAGAATTCATTTGGTAACCTGTGGTTCATGTGTGAACTAAACTTGTGTTTCAGCCTTTATTGCTTGGGTATGGCAGTAGTACACAACAGTAGTAGGTTCCTATAGGTTGTTGTTCCCTGTAGAACAGCATTAGAGTCTTTGCTGGTAAGTGTTGAAAACTTAATAGCAGTAGTGTTGTAACTTGAAGTGTGCTCAAGTGCATAATGGGCTGCCCTGCCTGAAGTATTCCTGGCATTGCTCTCTGGGTTTCTTTTTTGGGGGGGGTGCGGGGGTGTTTGTTTGTTTGGTTTTTTTGTTTGTTTTTTTATGGGGGGGATTTTGTTTGTTTGATACAATTCTTGGTTTTCTCACTCTAGTAACAGGCTTCTTGGCCACCAAGTTGTGAGTTCCCTGTCAAGATTGTGATTTTACTCTTGCACTGACTTAATGTCATTTTTTTTTACTCCTCCACTTGCTTGCCAAGCCCTATTTTCTCTGCAGCCCATTTGTTTGAGCTCTTTAGTGCTCTGTATTCAAATTGGTTAGGAGCTTCCTTGGCTCAGGAGGAAGACTTGTCAGATTGTAGACACACCATGAAGCAGTCCAAATCTGAAATTGTTCAGATTATAGAGTTAAAGGAGCACAGGTGGATTTGGGGAGATAATGTGTGGATAAATATTTTAATCCCTTGAGTAGATACAAACTGTTTTTTACAATGTTGGTTTATAAATTTGAACCAAACCTTTTGTTTGAAAACCTGAAGTAACAAAACCATCTGTCCTTAAAAATAAATTATTCTCTTACTTATTCTCAACCTCCTGCCTCTGTAAGTTATATTGTAACAAGTCTAGAAGGAGCAACATGTATCCCTTGATGCTTATGAGAACAATAAAGCTACTCTTGTTTTGTCCCCTTAAAGAGTTGTGATGAGGTTAACCTCAACACTGCTTATTTGGCAGAAGTTAAAAAAATGAGAAAATTATGGTGAGAATTGGTAGACAACTTTGCTGGGTAGCTCTTCAGGCTTCTTCTTAATTATCTGTTCTTTGAGATAAAGGGGGAGATCAAGCATCTCTTCCTGCCATGCGTAAATGGAAAGCACTTGGGATATCCGACTTTTGCAACCTGGCTATTTGGATCTGGGGATAAAAAAAGTAAGCTGTATATTCAAGAGCACTCCCCCAGCCACCCAGGTGTTTGCTAATAACTGTGTTGTGATCCTGTCTTGAAGCAGCTTGTTTGAACAGTTAGGACATAAGCTACTTTTGTTGTTGTGAATCAAGTTCATTAACTTGGGGAGGGTCAGAGGGAAGAAAGGAGTCTTAAGTTACTGTTTACGTAACTAGGATGGGTTCTTATTTGACCTAAAGTCTGTCTTGATGCAGCAGCACAAGCCAGCGAGGAGACTGTCACATTTCGCCGTGAACGCAGCACATTTAGGCGTCAGGCAGTACGACGCCGGCACAATGCAGGGAGTAACCCTACCCCTCCTACATTGCTCATCGGATCACCCCTCAGGTAGGGTATCTAAATGTTCCACCATATTTAGCATGCATGCAGCAGACCACTTCCCCACACCCACCAGTGTTGCCAGAAAAGTACTTTTTACTTCCTTCCCCACCATAACCTCCTTGAGCTGTCACTGCATGTCACTGTGGGCTTGTTGAATTGTGCATGTATATGTGGCACTATTTTAAAAGAGGTCAGGATAGTCAGTCTCTAACATGTTATAGCTGTTTTCAGATTGATATAAAAATTAACTAATGCTAACAAACTTAGCCTTATTGGTTTTTATCAAAAATTTTAGAAACTTTTGTTTTCCATCAAGAAAAGAAACCCAAGAAAATAGTATCAGTGTTCCCCAGTTTGGTTTTCATCTCTTGAAGGATGTAAGCATTAGGTACTAGTACTGTGATCACTTTCCACATTTGTAGATTGTGAGAGATAAGCAAAATGACAGAACTGTATAAAGAGCTAAATACATACTCCAAAAGACTCCAAATCTGAAATACAGGTAAACCTTTATGAAGATCTTGCAGCTTTTTATAGCAAAAAAGAAATAATGAAGTGAATAGAATGCCCAATATTGCTTAATATTAAATTGAACTGTGTGGCACTTTGCATGCCTTGACAATGTTTAAAATGTACTGTGTACATGTGTCTCAGGAGTCCCCCAACCTTTACAGGTCCCTTTCTTTACAATGAGGAGCCTAGTGGCTTGTTGCATATAGATAGCAGCTCCGTTTGATCAATCAGCCTGAACAGTAGAAACAGCAGCCACAATAAGTTTTTGAATGTTTTGTTTTAAGTCTTTCAATTTCTTGGTTGCTTATGGAATTGGAGAATCTGGTGAGGAGAACATGCCCTGTAGAAGGAGCAGTCCCCTATAAGTATTGAAGTAATTCTTCCTTCAGTTACATTATAAATATATAGGAGTAATTCCATATGTTATATATTCTTAATGATCTTCCTTCATATGGTAAACCGTTCTTGTGTTTTGGGAATATTTATGTAAATTTTTGAACTAGTAGAAATGGAAAAAATAAAAATAAAATACCTTGTAGTAGAGGACGGCAGAGGAATTGTGCCATCTTTGTCACACCACTAAAATAACTGAGGAATACTTCTGCAAATTTTCCTCAGGCAGGGGGAATGCAAGAATGGTACCTAGCAATCTAACAGGTGATGGATTGACTTCTGTCATATCAAGGACTGAAACTACTTGGGTGTGGTTTTAATGGCTAGTGCAGTATGAAGTAGTAATCATGTAATTTTAGATTTTTCTTTGTTAAGCTCTTGTTCTTCCTGAATGTAGGGTGCTCAGTCTCAAACTAACATCCTTCATAGTGAAGGATGATAAAACTTTTGTCTTCTTTTAGATCAGTTTTGCTTAACCTTGTTGCTTTCACTTGCCTCTGAGTTTGTTTTCCTTTTGTAGTGCAGCTTTGTGTATTGCAGCATAAGAGGCTGTGCAGACTAATGAAAGCTCCTTAATTGTGTTTTAGTTAGAAAACAGTGTTTTCTTTCTTGTAGGTGTAGAGTAAGCAAACTTTTGTTTTAAACTGTGGTTGGCAGTGGCCTTGTTTCCATATGCTAGTGCAGTCATTAAGGTTCCCATGGCTTAAGCTTGACTTCCAATTAGAGACTACGAAGTAACTTTGTGAATCCTGAATTTCACGTTGTGAAGTGGGAGTAACTCTTTAATCAGACAAGATGTTCAAGGGTAAAAAAGCAGATTAAACATCCTCACCCTGTATTTCCTCTAAGCATCTTTATTATCTAAATTTGTTCTATTCTAAGTTAAAAACCACCCAAAACTGCTCACTATACTTTCTCTAACATAATGACATACATACATTATCAAAAATGCTTTATAATATAAACATATTTAGAATTGAATACTTACGGAGGGTAATTTACTCGGAGTACTTTTCATGATGCTAAATGACTGTCCCTTGGAGTGGAATTAAATTGCCAGCCAAACACCAAAGTGCTTTCATATTTGTTTGACACAAGTTTCATTTGAGCTGTCAACTGTGGGATGTATCTGAAAAAAAAAGTATTAATGTTCTAATTTCTAGGTGAGCAGTCTAAAAATACCCTTTCCTTTACATGGGTAGCTTACTTATAGTGTAAATTCTGTGTTACTGGGAAGAGGAAACCCTTAAAGATGTAAAAGAAATCATGCCTAAAGAGCAAATGTGAAGAAATATAAAGGCATTTTGAGCCAGTTACCGCTAAGAAGTTTTCAAAATATTGCTGCAGTTGTCCTGACATAATGCCTGTGTGCTGTTAGTGAGCTGCCTGTGTGCTGTTAGTGAGCTGCCCCAGTCTAGTTTCTGATATTGCTAATCCATGACTTCAGATATTAAACTTCTAAAAAGGTCAGATTTACTAATCTTTAGCTGCCCTGATGTTATATGTTTCTTATTCTTGCCAGCAAAACTTTAATCTCTAATCTTCTAACTAACTCTGTCATAAAATTGGATGTTGGGGGAATGTTCCCTAGAACCTGTTGAGTTAAACCTGATTTCTTTTTTAATTTCCTATCCATGATTGCAATTACTTTTCACTTCCTCTGTGAAATACTTAGTAAAAGAGACAGTGGCATTATATATGTGTGTCTTTGGCAGTGGTAGACAAGTCAAATCTGGTCTAGTAAGTTCTGCTGGTTTGGTGCTAAATTAGACACAAGATTATTTTGCCCTGTAACCTAAAAAACAAACCCAAAATGTACCATAAAACACCATCCACCCCTGCTTTTGTCCTGTCTAATTGTCAGTAGTGTTTTGGGCACTTCAAAAATAAATGTTCATTGGTATCCCATGTAGTCAATCATGTATTCATGTATGTAAGTGATTGTATGAAGCAGAATTTTTATTCTTAAAATAATCAGGGAGAGAATAAGCCTGTTTTGTTTGCAATTGGTTGGCATCAGTATTTTGGTAGGATTTTTTAATTGTGACATATGTGGATAGCTATTAAAAGAGCAGCTGTGTCTATACCTCTTGATACGTACCTGCTATTTATAGAAAAGCAGTATTTTTTTAGCATTGGTTTGGTGTTGCTTAAGGAAGGCAGTGAAGGTTGACACATCCCTGAACTTCCCTAGGGCTTTTGTTGCTGCATATCTCACTGAAAGTCTTGTGTACTGCAGCAAAACACTGAATTTAAATTTCAGATTAAAATGGTAGAACACAGTGAATAATGAGTTGCAGTTCTTTTCTTCTGAGCTGGGTGCATGTCTTCATTATTTTGCATGAGCTTTTCTTAACAGCTATTCTTATATCCATATTTTGTTTTCCAGTGATGCTCTAACAAAAGAACTGAAAAGTAGATGATGTAGAAAATACTGTTAAGAGCAAGTACACCAGATATAACCCTTCAACTCTTAGTAAGATCTTGTGTTTTTTTTAGTTGCCTCATTTGCCAACTCTAGCATCATGCTGTAAACAGTGAAGTGTTAAAAGCAACAGGTGATGCATATTGTTTTTCAAAAGAGTGTTTAAGCTATTTTCCAGTCTTTAACATACAAAATCTTTTATCGAAGATAATGCCTCAGCTAATGACTGTATAATGTAAGTTCTTTAAATCCACAAAATGAAAGATAACAAAACCACAGCTCTTGGAATAATGGTATGATATCAACTGTAAACATAATGTACTCTGACACTTTGTCATACCTAATATTAAACAAGTTATTAAAAAAACCTAACTTTGGTAAATAGCTTAATAAAGTTAATTTTGCAAGTCTGAAGAGGAGAATTAACATTTTCAAACACTGTGCGGTCATGACTATGAGAAATGTACAAATTTCTCTGAAAGCCAGGTTGACTTTTAAAACCTGTTTTTTGGTGAGTAATAAAGCTTTGGATGTTACTTCAAAATAACTTTGAATTGACTTAACTTTTGCCAATTAATAACTTTGTATAGAGAGTCTTAATATGTTCAAAATAATTCCGAATCCAGACATACTACTTCAGTTATCTGCATCTAGGTCTGTGGTATCATATGGCTATTAACAAAGCTTAAAGACTTTTTCTAGTTAGTATGAATTAATAACAAGAAAGGTGATTTCTCTGTGTCTTTAGAAAAAAGCCCTAAACAGTTGATCAGGTCATACTGGAAAATAAGAAAAAAGGACCCCAGTGATTGTGAGAAGACTGGAATAGTCAGTAGTAAATATAGTGATACCTCAGGTTAGTCAGTAGTTAAACTAATGGGGAGTAATTTGCTTTTGCACCCACAAATTAAGACACAGAAGAATATACCTGTTGGATGACCTGAGGAGATCTTGGACAGCAATACTACTACTAAGAAGTTGACAGGAACAGTATCTCTAAATTACTGCTGTAACTAGGGCCTAAATACTCTCTTACACAGAATGTAGGGGTTACTTTAACACTAACTGTTGGCTACTTAATGCTACTATCTCAAAAAAAGTTTTCCTCTTTAAACTGAAAAATCTTGTTTTGCTTCACTTCTGGCTCTTTTTCATTTCTTCTTGGTAATGTGTCCCCAATGCGTGTTTTCTCGTAGCCTTCAAGATGGTCAGCAAGGCCAGCAGTGCTCCTGCCAGGTCAGAGTGCAGTCCTGCCCCCCTTCCCAGGCAGCTGTGCCCGGCGCTAGCGCCTCCTTGCTGGTGAGAAATGGGAGTGTCCACTTAGAAGCATCACATGCCACTGCATCTGCTGTAGGCGGTAGCAGTTTGCACGATGAACTTGGTATGCAGGCCTTATGTAACCTTGGTGACATGGAAGTTTTAATAGGGCAGATTTATTGGTAATAATGCAGTGAAAATCAGCTAACCTGAGCGTTGTTTGTCAATCTTACAGGTGTGTTTCTAGGAAGGCTATATTGCTCAGTCACCTTGCCCAGGCAGTTTCTCTAACAAATGTGTGATGGGAAATAAGGTGTCGTAGATACAAGTAATGATGGTGTGAGGGCTTTCTTGATTTGAGCAACGTAACACATTTAATATATCTTTCCTATGGTCCTACAGGCAGTTGAGCAGATATGGAGACTTTGGGGATTTTCTGGTTCCTTAAAAAAAAAAAAAAAACAAAAACCAAAAAAAAACCCCAAACTTGTTATGGTTCCTATAAATTCTTTATCGTACCTTTTTTAGATGAGTTGTTTAGCTGCTGTTCAAAGAAGAAATACTTATGAATGCTTTGCTTTGGATGTACAAATACAATGTTAACTTAGGGGCTTGGTATTGGAAGTAAATCTGGACTCTTTTGTATATCAAATCTCATAGTTTTATAGAGCTTTATAGTGTCTTCTTAGTTCTTCATGGTCCATTTTATGTGGTACCCTTGATTATTAACTTCTTCATTAACTCCTATGTAGCTAATAAAATTGCTAGGAAGAAGTTAAGACGGTCTTAAATAATAACTGATCTGCCACATAGTGAAGGGGTTGGTTTGGAAAAATTCCCGGCAGGGATCTTTGCAGCTATCTATACGTGGCCTGAATTACTTATGGCTTCATCATTAATATGTAACTCTTCCTTGCATTATTAAAATGGCCATCTTGAGCACTGACAATTACTAGTGATGGAATGAGCTCTAATAACCTAATAGCTTTAATAACCTAAAAGTACAGGTTTGATCAGAACACTTACAAAACATGTGTTTCAGACCTTGTGTAATCCAGGACTAAGAGATAAGTGAGTTGTCTCTTATCTCACTAGAGGGGAAGACTCCATGAATTGAGAGTCTGTGGTAACCCTTTAAATGTGAATTTGATTGAGTATTTTTCTGCACCATCTAGTGCAATATAAGGAGAAATGGAATATAAGCAAAAATGAAACCACCTTTACCTACTCTGAGATGTTTTATAAGACTTAACTACAAATGTAATAAATACACATGATCTAGTTATCTAATAATTTTTGTTGTAGATTCTGTTGCTTTACTGTTTTCTAGGTAGAAGTGTTATTGTTTTGTTCTCAGTGCTTGTGTCTCAACTATGAAAGCTTGTTATATGAAACCCATTTTTTAATTTAATTTGGATGCTTATTTCATATTTGAAAAGAAGATATTTGAAGTGAAACTCTGAAATACTGCTTATTTCTATCCAAGTTTAAAGTTGAGCTATATTCTTGAGGCTGCTGCTATTTATTTGAAGGATTTGGTTCATATTACCCAAAACAATACTGTTGAGTTCTGTAGAATTTGTAATTTAATATGCAATATAGGTCTATTTTATTTAAGAGCTTTTATTATTTGCTCTAGCAGAAATCAAAGTAGATCATATATAAAATTCAACATGGCATTCAGACTCTAAAAAGGCATATTTATTGTATTTTTTGTGCATTGGAGTCTTCAGAAATTCATGACACTTAATTCTTCTGAAACTTTACCTGTATTGTGCTTACAATTATCTGGGACATCATGTTGTCTTTGGAGGCAAAAAACTTCTGGGGTCTGCTAGGTAGAAATCTGATGTATAACAGGGATTTATTTCCTGTTTTGAGAGTCTGAGCATCTAGGTTAGAATCCTTTGAGAGAAAGGTATGCAGGATCTTCTTGTGTTATTTTAGGAAAATCAAATTTTCTAGTTTATGTAGCAGGTTGTGTGGAGCAGATGCTATCGTTTGTTAAAAGTAAAATAGTTGGCAAAATAGTGCAGGCTTTTGTGTGTGTGATTCCTTTATTAGGCCTGACAATAAAGTATCTTTCCTTTTCTATGTGGTTAGTTTGGGGGTTTTTTTGTTGGTTTTTTTTTTCATTTTAAACCCTGAGTCAGGGATGAAGTAACACTATTTTTCTCTTTCAATTAAGTCTAAGGCTCTTGGTTTTGCTATGTTATCTCAAAATATCTTACAGTAAAAGATGACCCTTTAGTTTGTCTGTAGTTGTACTTTAGTTTGTCTGTGGTTTGGGTTGGGAGAAGGTTGTAGTTTGTTTTTTCCTTGATCAGCATCAGAATACAAATAAAAGCAATCAAGGAGCTATGACCAATTATTTGTTGCCGTGGAAATCATTGTGACTGCCCAGGGCAAAAAAGTCAAAATAGTGGCTGGGGAAATACATGGAAACAAAACCTGATTTACTCCAACTGGAAATATCAGTGACAAACATAGATGGGGTTATATATATCTGTACCGTGCATAGAAGAGTTTCTTAATTCAAATCCTCTTGGAAAGGCAAACAGGGCATATATTCATTTACTGTAAAAGTCCTCACATAGAGGGCTCATGTTTTCCTTTACCAGTGCGCTATTTACTTCTACATTTGTTCTGTTTGTGTTGATGTCAAGCTGCAGCACTTAACAAGACACACAGTTTTTGGTTTTGTTTACTTTGGAATTTCTTGTCTGTTAATTTGATTCTGGTGGGTTATTTTACCTAGGATGAGCCTCACTGTATTATACCTGTCCCATACCCAGTCTGGTGATGATACAGTTATCTTTAACTGGGCGTTGCCCTGGGAGTAAGGCAAGAGATGCTTTGATGCATTATCTTCAGTCTTCCAGGTTCAAAGTAGGAAGATTTTTATCAGTTATACTGTTGGAAGGTTGAGGGAGAAGTAACTTGAAAGGATGGAAAAGGAGTTTGATGTGGAGTGGTAAACATGAAGTAAATCATAGAATTGCAGAATGGAAAGGAAAAGTGGCAAACTAAATGCCATGATTATAGGCAGGATTGATACAATAGAAATCTGAAAAGCAACAAAACATGTGCTGTGACTTAAGTGAATGACAGTTTGCAGAGCAGAGTGTGGCAGTACCCATTCTTTTTGTTCTCATTAATGGTTGATTGTTTAGACGGGTAGGTGGGATTTTTCATCCCTTGCAGTGAAGATTGATTAAATTCAAATTAGAATTTGTCAAACAGGAATCCAAATACTGAGTTAGCAGAACAGATGCCCAGTGTTTGAAGCTGGGGTGAAGTAACAGACTCTTGTCCTTGGCTAGATGATTTTTTAAAATTGCTTTTGTGCTTAAAGAGAACTGCTCATCTAGAACTTTACGAGACAATTACGGTGGTGTGGTGGACCTCTGGTTGTATTGTTTATATAACAAGCAATAATCTTTCAGGTTAAAGTATTTTAATTTATGAAGGCAGTTGAATGGTTTTGAATATCAAAACTTTTATGTAAGGATAGACATATACACTGGTTGCTTACTAGATTAAAACCAATTTAGAAGCAGTTACTCAGTACCTTTGGAAAATTAAATAGATGTAATTGGGATGGATGTGGGAGCATGTTCAAAGGTCTATGTATAAAATAAATATTCACTTCTCATTATTCCTATGGAAAATATCCTCGTTGTAGACTGGAATTTGGGGTAATAGGTCAGTTACTCTTTTGACAAACTTCATATAGGAACAAAAAATGAGCTATTTGGAAGTGTTCTAACTGAAAACATATACACCTTCATACCATAGCTAACAGTAAAATTTTGACCTTTGGAAATAAAGCTCCTAGCAGTCTACCAAGGAGTCAAATTCTGATGACTTTGGTTTTGCTAACTAGGATTTTAAAAATACTGATTGAAGCAATAGACAAATGTATCTTGATCTAATGATGACATCATCATGTAAGCCTTTGCATTTGAACTACTCTGAGTGGTTTGAAAAAAAGGAGTGTATTGGATGTAAAACTGGGAAGCGTACTAAAGATAACTTAGCTGAGGAAACCATCAGAGCACCATTTTAGTTAAATCCTGAGCCACTTAAGTCTTCCAGGTTTTGTCTGTGTAAGCTCATCAGCCTATTGCTGTTGTCTGTTGATGCCCTTAACTACTGTGGGAGTATGAATTTGCACAGTGTGAACTGTTACATGGCTGTCTCTGGATGTGGTGATGAGATATTTTGGTCTTTTGGAACAAGGAAACTTGCTTCAAAGAACACACGTTCATCTTAGCTCCATGTCAGAATGAAGATGTATTTTGGATTTGTGTGCTTGAGTATCACAGTGTCTTGGTTTGTTACTGTAACCTGGTCCAAATAGAATATTTTTGGGTGACTTTAATTTGTTAAGAGCTTTCAAGTCTCTTTTTTGGTGTGTGTGTTTGTGTGTAGAGAAGTTAAACATTTATGTTGAGTGAGTAGACATACTATTGAACATATTTCTTGATTTTCAACATAATCTTTGGAGTCTCCCATTTGTTCACAGCTTGATAAAACTACAGCCTTTAGAGAGAGAAAATACATTCTTAAGTTAATTCAATGTGGTGCTGTTCCAAGTATCCCATGGAGAATGCTGTGAGAGGCAGGAATGGGAGAGAGTCACTAGAGTAAATAAAAATGCTAGGTATATCCATATGTATTGACTCTTGAGTATTGAAATTCTTTGTTAGCATTTATGTAATATGAGGAAGCTGTTCTTATCTCACAGAGTTTAAAAATTAAGGATTTTGGAGCTCAGATGTATTATCTTCAGTTGCACTTTGGAGTTTGTGTCACAGCAATGAACAGTCCTGTCAAGTTTTCTACTGAGATGAGTTGAGGCTTTTCTGAAAAATCTTTTTATTTAAACCAACCGACCAAAAAACCCCAACAGAAAGACAACAACAAAACCAAACCAAATCAAAAACAGCCAAAGAAAAACAAAAAAATGGAGCAGAAAAAGATTTTGTATTAATGAGAAGCTGTGCTGTGCTTGCCAGGGAGCTAACTTTGAATGGAAAGCCTCTTTAAGTGGGTGAATTGCAAGCATGACATATCCTGAGTCCATTTTGTAGTTTGTGTATAAACAATGGGAATTAAGTGTTCTGTTTGTTTGCAACCTCTATTAATAAGTTTTGTTATATCCCACTGCAGCAGTGCAGTACTTACAGCAGCAATATAAATGCAGTCAATTTTGGTAGATTCAAAGATAAGTTGGGTGGCAGGGAACTGTAGATATGAAGAAGTGTAATAGTTCAGTAAACATCCTCTGAAATAAATTCCTGATGTGTTTTCCTCAGTCCAAGGGAAGGGGAAATTGCATGTCCAAGCAGTATATTCTAACTTCTGTGACTAGTATTTCATTAAGTTAAAAATTAAAAAGTTTAATTTCCAGGATCTCTAGTCAGTAATGCAAAATCATGAAGAATTTAACCCAAACTTCTTTTTTTTTTTTTTTTAAGAGCTGCTTGCTCTTAAATTATGGAGATTTTCCCATAATAATTAATGCACATCTTTGTCCTGAATAGAACTTTGACGTGCATTTGTATTGTCCAGTGTCTCCATGTTTGCTCCTGAATCTTTTTTATTGACGCAGTTAATAAATACACCTTTGTAACCGAGGGTTTTTATTAGTTGTGGGAAGATTCCCCGTTCTATCTATTAGTTTAAATGTTAAGCTTCAGTATTAATGTGTACTACACATTGCATTGGAAAACCAAAAGATAATCAGCTAAAGCACTTCATTAAAATGTTATGCAGTGAGGAAAAAGCCCTAACCTAGTGAGCTTTGTACTTAAGCCTGTGGCAGATGTAATTGAATATTGAGAGAGGGCTGCTGTGCATGCTGTTTGTGCCTCCTGAGCTATGTAGGGGACTGTCTTGTCACAATGGTGGCTCTGAGCACAGCTGTGGTATTTCCCTGGTTGGTCTGAAGTGCTCCCTTGAGGGTAGAAAGCTTTATGAAGATATTGTCAATATACCAGTTTTTTTCTTTATTTCATTGGTTTTAAGCATGTAGTTTGAGGGATTTAACTTGTGAAGATTCAAATGCTTCTGAATCAAACTTAAAGGTCTGTGAGTCTGAAGAGAAGCTGTTGCAGGATTATATTGTGTAAAAAAATACTCAAAATCCATGTATTAGCAGGTTGTGCTCTCACAGAAATGGCAAAGTTTGGAAGCTCTGATCTTGTTAGGTATTTCTGAGGGTTACCTTGTATCAGCAGAAGGTAAAGCTGTGAGACATTCAGCTGCGAGGTGTATACAGTTTTTCTTCACATGCTCCAAAGTGGGATTTTTATTTTGTTTGTATAAGCTAATATTGGAATATTGCAAGTTTTGCATCATGACTTAAGAAGGGTTATAAGCTAGAAGAGATGGAGAAATTGGCAGATCATTTAATATGAGATCAGTTTCAAAATCAGGTTCCTTGCATTCAGAGCTGAAATATATTGAACCTGGCCTTCAGGGAAAATTACAATGCCTATCTGTCTGATCATGCCACTGTTGGGAGGAGGGTACTGTGAAAACATCTTATTTGAGTAAGGTAATTTATAATTTGCATTATAATCTTTGGCTGCTTTTTAAAATTATATATTTTGGAAGTAAGTCCAAATGGTTTATCTAGGAAGTTAGTTTGCAGTCCTTTGTTCTTACACTGAAGCATTTGTTTCTAGCTTGTAGAATAAATCTCTGCCTCACATTTCTTTTTTGAGTTTCCTAAGTTAACTTATGAAGCGTTTCTGGCCACTTCTTTCAATCTTTGTGTTTCTTTTCAAATAGACATGGGTGTCTCAAAATAATTTTATTCAGATACTTGGGTTATCTCTGCTGTAGCTAAATATTCTTAGATGCTGATAGTGAGTGATTTACTGATGGTTCTGTTGGGGGTGGGGGAGAACTGAAGAAGCTGGTCACTGCAAATTTTTCATGTGGTTATTCTCTAAGGGGAAAAAATGGTTTACACTGTCCTGTTGTGTTAATGGTGTCATCTTGTAAATACAAACTCGGTATACAAACTTTAATTCAGTACTGCAGTTACAGCATATGTGCTATGTAAAATGGTATGAAAGACAGCTGTGTAGCTAATGTCTGCACCGGTGACACATTCATGAGTAATCACATTTTATATTTTAACACAGATGTAAATTCAGTTGTCTGAATTGATATCTGTTGTAAGTTAATAAATATAAGCTGCTGCCAATAGGATGAAACATGAGGAAATTTTGACCTGCTTTTGACCTTTTCTTTAATAGGTAAGTTCAGTTCTACGCTCTACGAGACAGGGGGCTGCGACATGTCGCTTGTGAACTTTGAGCCAGCTGCAAGAAGAGCATCCAACATCTGGTGTGTGTGAAGGCCAGTCAAGAGTGATAATTCTTGTCTTACTGCAATCCAATATTTTATTTTAATTTTAAAAGGTTATTTAGTATGGACTACCAAAAAAGTCAATGCAATCTATTAACCATATACTTTTACTTTTGTGATCCAAGTGATTTTTACTAGAAGATAACATTAAGTTAAATATTCTCTGAAAATGAGTACTACTATTAGCTTAAGCAGTACACTTCCAAACCGAGAACTTGACTAATGCATTTTTTTGTTGGCTTATAGAAAGTCTTTGTTAAAGAATTTAACCCATTTTTGAGAAAGTTAGGTTGCTGTTGACCATAATGGCTATTGAACTTCCGGTTGTGAAGCCATTGTATACTGATAAATTTATTTTCAAGTTCATAGATGGCATCAAACAGTAAATGGAAGTGTTAACATGGCTGAGATTAAAATCTGACTTGGAGCTGAAATAGCCAGCTACATACTGGAAAGTTCATCTGCTGTTGGAAAGATGCCTTTTCTTTCTCTGAAGGGATAGGAGGCAGAAGAAGGAAAAGCAACCCAAAACCTTCTGTGGCTTCCCACCTGCCCCCAGTCTACTTCACTATGTAGAATTGCTCTGAAGTTATTGCGCCATGCTGAATGCTGTAATTCCTACCACATGTAGGTGGAATAGCTCTTGGAATTATGGAGTTATGAATATGAAACATCCCATCTTCAAATCTTTTTTTTGAGAGTATGCAAGTGCCTTTTGTAGAATTGAACTTTGACCTGCGTTCCTTCCACAAAGCTGCCAATCCCTGCCTTTACTGCTTGCATGTTCCAGATGCAATGACTTTGCTGATGGCTGCTGTTTTGAAGTTGAATGTGTTAATGGAAGGAACAAACTGGCCACTTCAGATAATCAGATCTCAGCTATAGAGAATACTTGAGTTTGAGTGAAGTAAAGTTGATAACAAAGAATGTTTTTATCTTAAGGCAAGGAACTGAAGGAAGGTTGCATAAATTTGATACAAGTCTTACAACCATGTGATTTACATGGAAAACAAACATCCAAAAGCTATCCAAAATTGGGGGAAAAAGCAATGGTTGGATATGGACTCTCATACAGTAAGAGAAATTTGTCTTCATCTCTAATGAATGGAAATTGCAAAGTAATTTTGCTCTTCTTACCAGAGGTTTAACTTTAAGTTTTTCAAAAGCAGTTTAAGTAGCTGACTTCACCTGTGCAATGTACTGTTTTTGGCAGTTTTGGGGTCTTGATAAAAACAATATAGAACTATGAGAAACTGCATGTGAACACCTAGTGTCCTCTGCACTTCTTTAGAGATGTGATGTATCTTTACAAATCACTAGCTAAAGCTTATAAAATTTTTGTTTTTCAAGTGGAATAATGGGTATCATTGTAGTTCTTTTTAGAAGATTTAGGGACTGGGTGTTGAGAAAATGTTAAGTGTAAGATTAAAGAGTCTCCAGGCTTATCATAGCTGTAGAATGTACCACAATACATGAGACTAAGTAACTACTTGCATTTATAGTAAGTGACTGAAGGAAAAACTGAAAGATATTTAGATAAGAGTCACAAGGTATCAAAATTAATTTGGGACACTAGAAAATTAGAGTGACCTGTTGAAATAAAATGTAATTTATAATCTGAAGTATTTTCCCTGTTCTTATAGTGACACGGACTCTCACGTATCGAGTTCTACCTCAGTTCGCTTTTATCCACATGATCTAGTAAGTTTTTCTTACTTATTTTTACAGCATGCAAAGAATCAGAAGACTATCCAACTTTATAGCACTGATTAATCATTCTGTGTGGTAGTTCTCTGTTCATATGAAAGAATTTTGTCTGGATTAATGATGAGAAAGTATTTAGTATTGTAGTGTGTTCATATATATATGCAAATTAATCTTCCTGCATAACAATTTAAAACTTAGTTGGTTTCCTCTGATCTAAAACCTAGTGATATAAAAATACTCGTAGAAATTGTTCTAAGATACCTTGTAAAAGTTTCCAAAGATAATGTGTACAATTTGGGCAGTTTTCATTCTGTGCATTACTGAGGTTAGCGGGCAGCAGAAAGACTAAATATTGTGTTCCGACAAAAAGAAACTTCCCTTGAGTAATTTTTTTGAAAGGAATTTAGAAATGTTATTGGAGTATGCTGTACAAAATTTAAATTTATATGCAGGGAGTGACTTAGAAAACAAGGCAGAAACTTACACTGTTTAATACTGCAAATACCTTTATAATTCCTTAGTTTTATGATCTGAAACCTTTTGTTATTGTCAAGTCCAGACATACCTGTACTCTGAATTCTGAAGTCATATGTTCTGAAAACAGCGCGAATGGTCATGATTCTTAAGCTGGCAAACCAAAGAGAAGTATGTTGAAGGTATCTAATGATACAATCAAGAGGGAAAATGAAATACAGCTTTAGGATTTGGCAGAGGAGCAAGAGACCTCTGTTTGCCTGACCATGCTTTTGATCAAGAACGTGCTTTTTAAACTTGATGTCTGCTAGAGGAACTTGCTTTGCTTTTCACAGTCCCCCTCAAATATGTAGCCTTTAGAAAAGAGGCTGCATTACCTCTTCTGTGCTTTCGGTTTGCCAGTGTAGTTCCATTGGAGGCAATGATTCTTTTTTAAGGCAAATTTGTGACTGTAAAAGCTCAGTCCATGCAGCAAAATGGAAATTTCCACTGAAATTTATTATTAGTGCCATGAATGTTAGGCTGATTCTACCTTTTAAGAAACAAAGCTTTTAAAAAATTTTCAAAAAAGGATCTGTTTTCTGAAACAGCTTGCTTTAAATAGTATGGTTTGTGTTTTTTGAAATGCCTTTAAGAAAGAGAGTGTTCCTCTTTGTTTTTTTCATTAGTATTTTCCTAGGACGAAGAAGCTGGCTAAGCATAGTTAAGTACACTGATGATTTAAGGAGTGATGAATAAAATTTTATAAATCAAGAAATAGAATGTTAAGCTTAGATGAATGCAGGGATAAAGCCCTTCTGAACACTAAACCTGTAGTTTTGACACTTGAAGGTGGCATGAGTATTGAAGTTCTACTCTTTGCCTTACACATTTGTGAAGCTTTTTCATTAAAGGACATTTTAAGAATTATATTGCCTAAGAATAAAGGGCAGTACATCAAGATGTTTCTTGGCCTGTTAGAAACTGGATTAGACTATACATAGGTACTAGAGTATCTTATTATCATTGAGTACTCTGCTTTTGTATCTTTCATGGTTGTTAGTATCACTGTGATTTTCTTGAGAACTGTAAACAAACTACAAAATAAGTAATAGTCATAAATATTACTTGACTGTTTAGGGTATAGCTTTTTCTTTGGTTCATTTCTGATTCTGGATGCAATGAGTTTGAATTTGCTGGTGCACGAATATATTGCTTTGTCATGCAAAAAGAACCATTCAGCATGGGTTCACATGCAGATTAGCTGACTATAAGAAATGTGTTGTAATTTATTTAAATCAATAATTGGATTATTCCTGTACTGTATGTTGTCCATGTATCAGTTTACTTGTCTTAAAATTTGAAGTTTTCAGAGTAAATGGGATAATGTACTTGGAAGATGATTTGTTTGAAATAAGGCATATGCTGAAATGCCAAAGAGTTGTTGTATGCAAACTGTTATTGCTGCTAGGTCCTATTCATGTGCTGTGATAAGGACAGAAAAAGTGAAGCCTGTGCCAGTGCTTAACATGTAATTCCTCAAAAGTGAAACTAAAGAGTTCTAGCAATTTTCTTCAAAGCAATTTTCAGTATCTAGACAGTGATTTGATACAAAGAAGTTTTTGTTAATACTAACTTTCTTTTAGCTTTCTCTTCCCCAGATCAGGTTAAACAGGCTGCTAACAATGGATACAGATCTGTTGGAGCAGCAAGATATTGACCTGAGCCCTGACCTTCAGGACCACATGCAGCCTCAAGAGGAAGCAGCTCAAAAAGTCAAGCAGTACTATCGCTTTTGGATCCTGCCTAAACTTTGGATTAGCATCAATTTTGATAGATTAACTCTTCTGGCTTTATTTGATAGGTGAGATCCTTGTATATTGCCAGATCTCGGAAAGCAAAGATGAAAACAGTTACTAAACTGTAATACAGATAAAACTATCCTAGAGAATTATACATATTTACTGTACTCTGAAAAATGAAAGAATAATACTGAATGTAGTTTTTCTAAAATAATGGAGGCTACTTTCATTTTTTTCTGTAGCAATTAAAAAAGGAAACCAACCCTCACTTTGCCTGCATGGCACAGTAACATATTTGAATGACCAAATAGAAAGATTCATTGCCAATATTTAAAGCTAGAGTATAGCCTTCTCCAAAAATTAATTTGAAAGGGTCTACAATCTGGCATTCACTAAGTCTTTTGGTAAACAGAAAGAATTTTCCCGCTGTTCCAAAGCATTTTTTCGAAGGGTTGTTTAATACTGTGACTTCTTGTCCTTGCTATATTGACCTAGAGGAATAAAATTAAGGTGATCCTCCAGTTGCCAGCTTTTGGAATATGTAGAGTATTTGTGTTTTGGTAATGAACCTCCTTGAAATAAACAGGATAGTAGTGATTCTGTCCTGGGAGGAATACTCATAACTCTGTTCTGAAGCACAGGCAATATCGTAGCGAATTATGTGTATTCCACTTGGCATATCTTACAAGCAAGAATATTTTTAGTTTCTTCATTAGAAAATCATGAGTGACAGGTTATATACACAGGTAAGTTATCATGCTTATGGATTTTTTTAGGCTTATCATCATTTTGGGTGGCTTTGAATATAGATTGCTGTTACAGACCATGCTTCTGGTGGAACATTTGAATTATTTCTAAAAATATCTGCTGAAGTTATCTTCTGCTGTTTAAAGTAAAATTCCATATGATACTAACTGCTTTCAGCTGTCATTGAAATCCTGGTAGCTCCAAGCTTTGATAAAGGACATTGTGCTAGTAGGCTATAGAAGTTCAAATTTATTCTTAACTTTCTTTTGGCTACCAGTAGCATAATCCTTGTTAATTTTTTACTCTAACTGCTCTTTTGCAGCTTTTTCTAGACATAGTTAGCTTTAAATTCCGTTTTTCTTTTTTTTTTCTCTCCCTTTAAAACAGGAATCGTGAGATCCTTGAAAATGTATTAGCTGTCATCCTAGCTATTCTAGTTGCATTTCTGGGCTCTGTACTTCTTATAGAGGGCTTTTTCAAGGATATTTGGGTCTTCCAGTTCTGCCTGGTAATAGCCAGTTGCCAGTACTCACTGTTGAAGGTACTTTAATTTCTCTTTACTTTCTACAAACAACAGATTAAAAATCCAGTTGGGTGTTGCAGGTTAGTTAGGGCTTTAAGGATAAATGTGCAAGCTTATCATTTATAAAGAAATTAGTAAACTTGGCCTCAAAGGAAGTTTGATAGATAGTAATGCAAGGTCACATCAACAGAATCATTCTGCATATGCTTGTTAAAGAATCCTTTATTTATTGTTCTCATGCATTTTTTTTGGTTCATGAAGAGGAGCACATCTTGTTGAAAACCGACTACAAACTGAATTTGAAGTTTTATTGGTTTGGGTTTTAATTTTCTGTAGTGTCTACACCTTGGAGCATTCATATTGGGGCAATTATATCTAAACATCTTTTTAATCAGATAATTAATTTTTGTTATACTGATAATGGTTTATTGTAATCTAAGAATGACTGATTATTTTTTGATTTGACTATTAGGATGGAAATCAGATTTAAAGTTAAAGTTCCTAAGTTTTCCTGTTGAAAACCAGTGAAAGTCTTGAAAATAAGGGGCTTGGGTGTTTTTTTTAGGATTTTGGTTATAGACATCTGCTCTTTAAATAGATTTAATGGTTTACAACATTGTGCTATTTAAAGGCTATAATGTGGCTTGACAGCTGTAAAATTAATCATAGATATTGTTAAAAGAACCTCGACCAAGAAAATAGGTGTGCGTAGGGAGGTAAACACACTTACCTGTAGATTTGGTAACTTTCCTCTTTTTATTTTGGTTTCAGAGCGTTCAGCCAGATTCTTCTTCCCCCCGACATGTAAGTCATGGGCATGTGCCACTGTACTAACTCTGCAGATGCAGAACTCCCACAGAGAATTGATCCATTTGGTTTGATTTTTCTGGCATTTCTCCGTTGTCCCTTCTTAGAAGGCACAAAAGG